ACTTAATTAGCACTGTCCATTGAGGAACAAGCTCATCATTGTCTCCCAGGATCCTTTTTCCTGAAGATTATTTTGCCATTTATTTATTCATTTGTAGTCTTGAGTCCACAATCCACCTTCTCTGCATTGCCACACTCAGAGCACAATGTGTGGGAAACAGTATTTTCTGCACAGCTCCAGGAACTCTGAAATCTTCACCTTTAACTACATCCATTTGAACTCATCTGGACACTGAAGCAAGTGCCAAGCTCTTGTGAAATGGAACTTAATTTAAGGTTGATCATTATGATCATATGAAACTTTAGGTTTTTCCTCTGTATCAGTGCCCTAAACTCCATAGTCAGTAGAGAGAAGACCCACAGAAGGCAATTTGTATTATTCCAAGAGACATGAAGTGAATCATACCTTGGAGATACCTCTCTCTATCCAGCAAGTACTCAGAGAAATTAAGTTAAACCAGGGACCTAATTTTTAAACAGGGAAAGATAATTCCCTCTTCAAAATATCAGGTATAAAAATATAATTGCTACTGTAATTCTATGTGCTTTAATTATAGCCAGGATAATTATACATAATCCTTACTGCTGTATTGGTTCAGTATTTGCTCAGAGGGTACAATGGCACTTACTGAGCCATCCACATTTAGTGATAATAGAAAAAGTCACACATCAGCATTTTTTGTGGCTTTTTTCCCCCTTTCCCCCCCCCAATTTTCTTGGTCTTTGTAATCAAATTTATTTCTTTTTTTTCTTTTTTTGACTACTTGTCCTTCAGCCTGGTTGTCAAACTAATTCTGATCATTCTTTGTGCAGGATATAGACTCAATGAAAGATTTTTGCTGTCCAGTTGTCAGTGGTGCTTTCAACCTGCAGGCAAAATGCTTTTATCTTATTTATTGTGCACCAGCAGATGGCTGTTATATTGTTATCTCCTGATTTAACTGCAGGAGGCCCTTGCTCAAGACAGAGTCTGTCCACATTTTCATTAGGACCCTTCCTTTTTGGTGGCTTGTATTCTCCAACCCCTGCATACCCTCAAGCTACAGTGTGCTAATACATGGTAACACAACACTTCTCTCTCTCTCCCTGCCTGTTCTGGATGCTAGAGGTGTCATGAGAGTGGTGTCATCCACATCTACAGCACAGGAAATCTCCCCCACTGCCAAATTGTCCACACACCCCTGCCATTTATCTTTTACCTGTTCTTTGTTTCAAGGGGTGTCTCCAGTGCTTCTATTTCTATCCCACACAAGAATTTTGCCTTTTCAATTTTCCAGCAACATTTCTCCTAGTGTTATAATTTCTGAAGTAATTAAGGCTAGGAAGGCTCTTGAGGAATCATAGAATCATAAAATCATAGAATAGTTTGGGTTGGAAGGGACCATTAAAGGTCACCTAGCCCAACCCCCTGCAGTGAGCAGGGACATCTTCAGCTAGATCAGGTTGCTCAGAGCCCATCTAGTTGGACCTGGAATGTCCCAGGGATGAGGCATCTACCACCCCTCTGGGCAACCTGCCCCAGTGTTTCACCACCCTCATTGTAAACAAATATCTTCCTTATATCTTGTCTGAATCTCCCCTCTTTCAGTTTAAAACCATCACCCCTTGTCCTGCCTCGACACACTCTGCTAAAAAAGTTGTTCCCATCTTTCTTATAAGGCCTCTTGAAGTGCTGAAAAGCTGCAATATGGTCTCTCCACAACCTTAGTTTCTCCTGGATGAACAACCCCAACCTTCTCAGCCTTTCTTCATGGAAGAGGTGCTACAACCCTCTGATCACTTTTCTGGACCCACACTGACAGGCCCACGTCTCTCCTAAGACATTCATACAAATGAATAGCTCTATTACAACTAGAGCTGTGTAAAATGAAGGGCTGAAATAAGATTTTTTAATTATTTACAGCCCTGTTCACACTCTGTACTTCACATTTGACCTGTAGCAGGGTCATAGGGTGGCCCTAAGGGAGGAGTAGTCAGTGCAGTGTAAACATATGTCCTACTTCCTTTCCCTCCTTATAGGATCACTACCCAAATAACAGCTGTTACCTCTTGTAATGCTGGGTTTGAAGTGGGTTTGGACATCTGTTCAGTAGACCTAAAAACCAAAATTCATAATTCATAAGATAAACAAATAAACACTCCATCTGGAGCAGTTTGAAATCTCTACAGATCCAGCTGGACTTACACTAGTGACCCCAAGGTGGAAATACCTACATCCATAATCACTCCCCTGGGTCAACCAGTATGAGCTTTCACTATCATTGCTGCTATTTTTACTTAGCCAAGTTATGTTTTTCACTGAGGGTTTAATAAAAAAAAAGGTCACATTTTATGACAGTTCCTTAAATAAAGGGTTATTAAGTAACTAAATGAGCTTTCACTATCATTGCTGCTATTTTTAATTAGCCAAGTTTATGTTTTTCACTGAGGGTTTAATTAAAAAAAAAGTCACATTTTTTGACAGTTCCTTAAATAAAGAGTTATTAAGTAACTAAAAGATTTCTAAGACACAGCTAATCACATTTTATAGATTGTTAATATCCTCTAGCTGCTGGTATGTTTCTAGAATATGTAAGCAGGCTGAGTTTGACACTCACATTTATTAAAAGCATATTGATTCCTAATACAGCAACATGTTTATAGGAGCATAAATAATTTTTTTTTTTTGCAAACAGCAGCAATAACTTTAAATGATACTTTGAAAAAGTCTCTCCTATTAAGCATTGAAACATCTGTAGGTAGAGTTGCTTGTATAACAACAGGCACAAAGATGATGGGGAAGTGTTAATCTGAAAGGGAGGGTAAGGATTGCCTCACTTGGCTTGGGTATCTAGAAGTTATATGTTCAAATCTGAAGTGATCAAATGGATATGATTACTAGTTCAGGAAATAGAAAACAATGTGTGTTTGTAGGATGTTTCCTCTGACCTATCTCAAACGCTTTTCTTGAGATGAATGAAGTCACTGGATGGGGTTGGTTTGTTTATGAATTTCAGAATGGAATTCGGTTGCCTTGACTTGGATGTCTGATTTCCACATGCAGGGAAAAAAAACCAACAAAACACTACAAAATAAACTAAACTGGGTTTAGCTAAGAGTACCAGCTGTTGTTGTTTTTAATTTGAAAGCATCCTCTGCTCTGCCCTTCACTGCAATTGAACTGAGGGGTAACATTTAACTGCTGTCA